GAAAAGAGTCTAGCGTAGTCTTTAATAAGGATGGTGTGGAGTGGGAAGGGATTCACAAATGGACATTTAGTATTTCCGTCTTAATTACTGTTCAAGTGCTATGAGGGGACATTTAATTGGTGCTTGCTTGCAGTTTTAGGGGGTTAGTCCATTACCATCATGGTGCAGAGCACGGAAGCAGGCTGGCAGGCACGGCACTGAGAGCTTGTATCCTGATTTGAAAGCAGCAGGGAGAGGAGGGGGAAAGACTGGGCTTGGTACAGGTTTTTGAAACCCCAAAGCTCACTTCCAATGACACATCTTATCCAACAAGACCTCATCTCCTAATCCTTCCTAAATAGTCTACCAACAGGAAACCAAATATTGAAATAAATGAGTCTTTGGGGCCATTCCTATTCAAACCACCACATTCTACTCCCTGGCCCCCATAGGCTTGTAACTACATCATAACACAGGAATGCATTTAGTATAACTTCAAGAGTCCCCATAGTCTATCACGGTCTCAAAAGTTTAAAAGTACAAGCCTCTTCTGAGACTCAAGGCAATCTCTTAACTGTAACCCTCTTATAAAAGCAAACATTAAGGTACATACCTTCAATATTCAATGGCACAGAATATATATAATCATTCCCAAAGGAAGCAAAGGGGGGAACGATAGGAAACGCTGGACCAAAGCAAGCCAGAACCCAGCAGGGCAAACTCTAGATTCCCAACTCCTTCCAGCTTTGCTCCCTGCAACACACTTCTCTCTCACGGACTGGCTCCACACCCGGTTTGCAGCTCTCCTAGCCAGATATCCCATAGCTCAGGCATCTCTAGCGTCTTGGTGTCTCCAGCAAAATCCGGGCTTTACCATCAAAACTGTAGCGGGTTGCTGAACTATAGTTAACACCCATCTCATGAAAGCATTCTTCAGAAAAACTTTAAGTGCTAAAATCTTGGGTAAACTGGTCCTGTAGACCAGCCATACATTTCTACACAGCGTGTCCCTGACCTCAAGGTTATGAGAACAGCCTGACCCTGAACTGCCATCTTTCTGCTTCTGTAAACAGCACTCGCTTGCTTCCTGCAGATGCCCACAGCTGCCTTTCTGAGTAAGTGACACAATTATGGTTTTTGCCTGTAAAAGCTCAAGAAAATTGGAGGTCAGAGCTGTTTCCTTCTACTCTGTAGGGGACAGCTCTGCTGGTGGAAAGTAAAGGCTCCATGTCACTTGACTAGTTCAGGCCTCTCGGGCGGTCTCTCTTCAGCTTCCTGTAACATTTGGGGTACCACTGAGATCCCTGGGGAGAAAACCCCAATACCTGAGGTATTGCTCCTCCTAGGCAAGGGTTCCTGGTCCTAGTGGAGACCACTGAGGACATTCCTCAGTCCCACGAACAGACTATCCCCCCACCAACTTGCCCCTTAAAACTTTTGGAGGGAGTCCATCTGCATACTTGTATCTGGGACCTTTGGAGGTAAGAGAAACCTGGATAGCCAGGCGGTGGTGGCGTACGCCTTTAATTCCAGGACTCAGGAGGCAGAGACAGGCAGATCTCTTCGAGTTCGAGGTGAGCTTCCAGGACAGGCTCCAAAGCTACAGAGAAACTGTCAGAGAGAGAGAGAGAGAGAGAGAGAGAGAGAGAGAGAGAGAGAGGGAGGGAGGGGAGGGGAGGGGAGGGGAGGGGAGGGGAGGGGAGGGGAGGAGAGGAGAGGAGAGGGGAGGGAGGCCTGGGTTTTTTACTTCTGGCCAGTCTGGGGCACCAATCAGGGAACTTGTGGGAAAAATGAGTCTGGTATGTGGCTGGTATGCCACCACACACCCTAATCTGTGTCCTGTGTCCATTGATTTTGGGTTTGTTTTGGGTGTGTTTTTTTCCCCCCAAGACAGGGTTTCTCTGTGTAGCCCTGGCTATTCTGGAACTTGCTCTGTAGACCAGGCTGGCCTCAAACTCAGCCTGTCTCTGCTTCCCGAGTGCTGGGATTAAAGGTGTGTACCACCACCACCGCTGAATGCTAGGACTAAAGGCTAGTGCCATCACCACTGAATTCTAGGATTAAAGGTGTGTGCCACCACTGCCTGGCTTGTTAGTTTTATCTTCATTGTCTCTGTCCCTTGCCTGTACTTCTCTGCTCCCATTGATCGTCTCCAGTTTTAGGCAGACTTGGGAAACCGAACCTCACTGATGCTTTCAACCTTCCCCTTGTAATGAATATTACAAAACTTTAAATTAGGTTTCAAAACAGGGAAATCCGAGTTTGAGTCCACTTCTCCAAGGGAACTCCATTGTCCAGCTTTCAGTGTGTGTTGGCCAGATGCCAACATCTGCAATATCTAACAGCATGAGCCAGGTTGCTCAACATCGAAGTTGCTGCCAGGGTTTAGTCCAGCAAGAGCTGGGCACCCAGAGTAGTTTCTCTACATTCGAGCATGGCTAGACATCCTAGGAACACAACCTTTCTGGCTGCTGGAGACCATAAACATGGTATCCAGAAGGTCTTAGCAATGTGGAAGAATAAGTCCCCCATACTGCTTGAGAACCCTGACCCTGAGTTTCTGCTGCCACCCTATCTATCCCCTGCCCGTGACTCCTGAAGCTACTGCTCCTGACTCTACCTTTAGTCCTTCCCATACCCATAGTGGGTCCCCCTATGCCCTACCTCCCTGCTCTTGGTTGTGTTCAGGGTTTCTCTCTCCTGACTTGTCCTCATAGGACCCAGCCCCTCTGGGTTCTTGGTCCCTCTCCTCTAAGGGAAGCCACAGGTGATGGTGACACCTCTCTTGCAGCTGGCTCCATTTATGGATTATTGTCCCCATTTCCACCAGCGATCTTCATAACTGGAAGATCAAACCCCTCCCTCTCTGACAAACCCAAGGTTGAATGTCTGTTCTAGAGACCAAGTTTTCCATTCACCAACCTACCTGGGATGACTGCCAGCAGCTCCTCCACACTCTACCTCAGAAGAGAGAGGGGATCTGGAGGGAAGCAAGGAAGACCACAGCCTCTGAGGTCCTCCGATTCTGGCAACTATCACTCATTCAGAGGATCCTTTAAAGATTAAACTGACCTGGCTGGGTTCCAGAGGTGGATCCAGGTCCACAGTTTCCAGATAAGACACAAAAATTCCCAAGTATTATCAAAGCTGGCTCCCCTTCCTACTATGTCTTCTCTGCATTGACTACTGTGCTGGATAGCTTTAGGTTAACGTGACACAGGCTAAGCCATCTGAGAGGAAGGAGCCTCAACTAAGAAAATGCCCCCATAAGATAAGGCTTTAGTAGCGGAGGTGGTGCACACCTTTAATCCCAGCACTCAGGAAGCAGAGGCTGGTGGATCTCTGTGAGTTCGAGGCTAGCTGGGTCTATAGAGCTAGTTTCAGGAACAGCCAGGGATACATAGAGAAAACCTCTCGACAAAGATAGAACAAACAAACAAATCAGGTTATAGGCAAGCCCTGTAGGGCATTTTATTTTCTTAATCAGTGATTGATGGGGGAGGGCCTGGTCCATTGTGGTTGTTTCCATCCCTGGGCTAGTGGTCTTGGTTCTACAAGAAAGCAGGCTGAACAAGTCATGAGGAGCAAGCCAGTAAGCAACACCCTTCCATGGCCTCTGCATCGGCTCCTCCTTCCAGGTCTCTGCCACTTGAGTTCCTATCTTGACTTCCTTCGATGAACAGTGTGATATGGAAGTGTAAGTCAAATAGACCCCCCCCCCCCCAATTTGCTTTAAATGGTCATGGTGTTTCACTGCAGCAGTAGAAACCCTACCTAAGACAACTACCCAAGTCTAGGACAGAAATAAATAGAAATAAATTCCCTATGATAATGTTTTCATTCTAACACCTGGGTAAGATTAGCTCATATTGTAAACACTGCTGACTTCTGTCCAAAGGAGAAGTTAAATGCTGAAAGTGTGTTGGGTGCTTGTCTTGCTCCTGTGTGTAAACCTGTCCAGGATATTGCTAACCTAACAGGTTAACCCTTCAACTGGTGTCCTTAAGCCCTATCGTTATAAAGATTCTTACAGCTGGGGAACAGCTTCTAAAGATGAAGCAGTAGATGCAAGATACCTCCATACTCCGTGTTACAGTACACCCACAAGACTCGTGCTGAAATACAAAACCACCCCCCCGCCCAAGGCTTCCCCAAGGAACAAATTGTTCCCACACTGAGGCTGTCTTCTATGGGACAGTCGTATTTCTTTGCCTGAAGTTTTTAACTTGTGAACAACACGTCTATAATTATATTCCTGATAACTTGTCTCACAGTACCCCCTGTTGTTTAAGCAGACTGTCTGTTTTTTTCCCAACAGTCTAGGAAGAAAAAACCCAGGCAGGCGGTGGTGGTGTACACCTTTAATCCCAGCATTTGGGAGGAGGCAGAGACAGGCAGATCTCTGTGAGTTGGAAACCAGCCTGCTGGTCCATAGAGTGAATTCCAGGACAGTCAGGGCTACACAGAGAAACCCCTTCTTGAAAAACCAACCAACCAACAAAACAACCAAACAACTAACCAACCAAACAAAAAGAATACTTTGCTTTGTCGTATGTTAGTCCTGTGACTTGGAGTAGGCCACTTTGCCTCCAACACAAGAAGGATGCAAAAATATAAAAATATGTAATCATAAAAATATTTGAAAAAGAAGGGTAAAGAGGAAAAAATCAGGTAGCAGATACTTTTCAACCCAAAGACTCAGTGACTTCATTGGCACTTTATTTTCTATAAAATCCCCGCAGTTTCCAAACACGTCTGATTGCAATGAGACCGGAAAGAGAACGTGGAAGCAGGCGCTCCATGCACATGTGGCTTCATTTATTATTCAGGACCCGTATTTCCTCTCATGGCTGTACACATTCTTAGAAATTCCTCGTCAACTGTTTTGGCAAAATTGCCCCAATAAAGTGTGGCACTCACAAGTTTGTATAAAGATATTCACTGCCACATTATTGTGAGAATAAATTGATTAAGGAAACAAGAGAATAAAGGATTATATAGCTCTATAATTTAAAACTCACCCTTGAAGAAGAGACATCTGTATATCCCCACAGGAAATGCCCTCCTGGCGTGGAGTGGTAATACCTGCTCAGGATCCCAGCAGTGGGGGAGAAAGGCAGGGAGGGTGAACAGAAGTTCAAGGTCAGTTCTGGCTGTCTAGTGAGTCTCGAGCTAACCCCAGCTATAACTAACTGCAAGTCCCTTTCTCAAGGAAAAAAAGAAAGACAAAAACAATCCCCAAACAATTGAAAGTCTGTATATATCTATGAAAGAGAGAATTATCTAAGGAACGCTGCATCCTGCTATAAACCTTGCTAAGACGCTCCGCTCGCCTTGCCTCTGCAAGGCCGCTTGTTTTTTTTCCCCCACTATTAAAAAAATATTTAATCCCGTGTAAATAAGTGTTTTTTGCATGGGAGCCTGGTGTCAGTGGAGGCCAGAGAGGGAGCTCTCTTGGAATTGGAGTTACCAAGAGTTGTGGGTCACTTTATGGGTGCTGGAGAGAGAACACCCATCCTCTGCTAGAACAGCAAGTGCTCTCAACCACAGAACCATCTCTCCACCTCCTCTATTTTCTTTTTATTTCTTTTATGTGATGGAGCACACCTTTAATCCCAGCACTTGGAAGAGGCAGGTGGATCTCTGAGTTCAAGACCAGCCTGATTTACAGAGTGAATTTCAGGACAGGCTCCAAAGCTACACAGATAAACCCTGTCATAAAAAGCCAAAAAAATTTGCATATATATATGTACATATGGGTACATGTTTGTGCCTTTGTGGGTGTGTGTATGCACATCTGTGTGTATGTGCAGTCCATGGAGGTCAGTCCTCAGGCATGTTGATAGTTTTGTTTGGAGACAGGGTTTCTCACTAACGTGGAGTTTGCCAAGGAAGCTAGACAGCTGGCCAGTGAGTCCTGGGGCTCTGCCTGCCCCTGTTTCCCCAGTCTTGGGGTTACAAGCCTGCGATACCACAGTTGGCTGCATACGGGCGTTTTCACACACGTATATATTATGTGTTGAGCATATTCCTCTCATGGCCCTATCCTCCCTATCCTGAGCTTGCAGCTCTTCTCTTCTCATCCCGGGAGCTCACTACTGATTCTTTCAGCTGGATTTTTTTTTTTTGAGAAATTTTTTGTTTTATGAGTGACATAAGGATCTGAGAGGTGCATGTGGCATACACAAACGGTCATTTTACTTTTCACCCCTTTTAAAAAAAATTTGCTATCATGCATGAGCAATATATTCTAAAAACCAAGACCAAAAGACAAAACAAAACCCCCAAACAAACCAAACCCCAAATCATCCAAGCAACCTTGCCCAACCCAAATCAACAAACCCATGCCTCTTATCAATTCCTTACATTTACAAACAGCTAACGTTTCTCCTGGAGCGAGTACTAGCAATGGCCTCCTGCTTTAGGGGAGGGATGAGGGTTTTGTAGTGAAAAAAAAAACAACACAAGAAAAAGGATATTTTTAGCCTGGTGATGGTGGTTGCACACCTTTAATCCTAGCACTGGGGAGGAAGAGGCAAGCGGATCTCTGTTCGAGGCCAGCCTGGACTTCAGAGTGAGTTCCAGGACAGCCAGGGCTACAGAGAGAAACCCTGCCTTGGAAAAACAAAAAGGAAAAAAGAAAAAAGGTATCTTACTGATAGGTAAACTGGAGGCTTTAATCTTGGTTCTCTTCTTCGAATAAGCAAGACTAGAAAAACAGGTAAGAAGACCGTTAAAAAAGTTGAACTCTCCCAAACGAAGCAAGTTTAGGGACCAATCATTGCTATTCCAAAAGGGAAAGTGGATGCCCGTTGCATACTGGGATTTGTAGTCCTGCCCTCCCCCAGGTAAGACGCGCCTGCGCCGAGCGACGCAGCGCTCTTCTGTGCGCATGCGCGCAGCAGCGGCGCCAGGCCCAGTTGTCTAGCTGCCGGTACACAATCTTTGCTGAGGGCGGCATTGAGGGCGGCATGGCGGTACCCACGTCGATTCTCGGGCCCCCGCCGCCCCCGCAAACCGGTCCCGGTTCGATGGTGGCCTGGTGCTCTATGAGCAGTGGCCCGTCTCGCTACGTGCTTGGGATGCAGGAATTGTTCCGAGGCCACAGCAAGACGCGCGAGTTCCCGGCGCACAGTGCCAAGGTGCATTCGGTGGCCTGGAGCTGCGACGGCCGTCGCTTGGCCTCGGGGTCCTTCGACAAGACTGCCAGCGTGTTCTTGCTGGAGAAGGACCGACTGGTGAGCTTGTAGGGCTTAGCTCTGGCCGGGAAGAGGTTGCAGGAGGGGGCAGAGGAATGGAGAGGAGCGTGACCTGTCGGTGGTGGTAATGAGGAAGAGTGTGATGGGGCTGGAAGAGTTGGGGGGAACGAGTGGGGTGAGGCCGCCTGGAGGAGAGCTGAGTATGAACCTAGTGGCAGTAAAGAGGTGTGGCGAAGGGATTGTGAGCTAGGGAAGTTGAATCAATTGGCTGAGAGTGGTGAGGGTCTCCAAGAGCCCTGGGAAGGAATCCCTGACGGGGAGTGGCTGGGAATTGATGGAGTGGTAGAGTCCCTAAGGGTGTCGAGTAGGTTTTATCTGAACATGATAGCACGGGGTTGGAGAGATGGCTCAGCGGTTAAGAGCACTAGCTGCCTCTTCCAGAAGACCTGGGTTCCGTTTCCATCTCCCACATGGCAGCCCACAACTGTCTTTAACGACAGTTCCATCGGATCCGGCATCATCACACAGACATATATGCAGGCAAAACACCAATGCACATAAGACAAAAATATTTTTAAAAAAAGAAAATGATAGCACAGACTTTGGGAATGGACAGGTGGATTGGGATGATGGTGGTGGTAGAAAAGAAAATAGGGAGGGCAGGAAGGGCAAGAGTAAGGGTGAGTGTCGAAGCTCAGAGCAGTTCACAGGGGCAGAAGTTTCGGAAAGGGCTGGATTAAGCTAGGTTGCAGGTGGAGGCATGTACATCTGTGTGAAGTGGCATCTGGGTTCTTTTCAGGTCAAAGAAAACAACTACCGGGGACATGGAGATAGCGTGGACCAGCTTTGCTGGCATCCAAGCAACCCTGACCTCTTTGTCACAGCGTCTGGAGATAAAACCATTCGCATCTGGGATGTGAGGACTACAAAATGCATTGCCACCGTGAATACCAAAGGTAACCTTGGAACGAGGAGCTTTAGGTGGGAAAGCTAGGGTAATTGTCAGCAACCATTTACTATGTTCTTTGTAGCTAGCGCTCTACATCGTGGGTTATCAGGATGGATACGTATGTCTGCCTGGAGGAGACAAGGAAGAATAGAATTTGAGTACTTTTGATTATCTGTAGAAATTCCTGGTCGGAGTGAGAGGGCAAGCAGTCGAAACAATACAAAAAGGGATAGCATGTGCGAAGGCATGAAGAATTCGGGAGGTTCTGGCAGGTTAGAATGGCTAAAACTCCGATTGTCTTGGTTTTGAAGAAGCAATTGAAAAGTTGTACATGACATTTAAACACTGTTCATGTCATATAGTATCCTGTAAATCTTGAGCTATCATAATTGACTCCAAGAGGTCATTTAAAATTTTCTTTCAGAAGCATTTTTGTTATTATTATTATTTGGTTTTTTGAGGTAGGGTTTCTCTTTAGCTTTGGAACCTGTCTTGGAACTAGCTTATGTCGACCAGGCTGACGTTGAACTCACAGAGATCCACCTGCCGCTTCCTCCCAAGAGTGCTGGGATTAAAGGTGTGTGCCACCACCACCCGGCTGTATTTTTTCATTTTCAAGAATGTGTACCACATTTGTACAGATGCCCGAAGAAAGCATCTTATCCCCTCTAAGTGAACTTACAGCTGGTTGTGAACTGTGGGTGCTGGTAATTTAACTGGGGTCTCCTGGAAAACAAGTGCTCTTTGTTTTTCAAGACAGGGTTTCTCTGTAGCTTTTTGAGCCTGTCCTGGAACTCACTCTGTAGACCAGGCTGTTCTTTCAGACATCTGCCTGCCTCTGTCCCCCGAGTGCTGGAGTTAGAGGCATGTGCCACCACCACCCAGCTCCCACAACAAATTCTGATAGATTTTAAAATGCACTATAGATAGTAAAGTGTGAAAAAAAGGCATTTTTGATTCAATGAAGTTGAACATTTTAACTTCATGTGTTCAGCGTACGAAGCCTGGCTCTTGATGACAAGAATGGTACCTGGGAGTGGCATGGTGTGGTGCTTTAGACAAATGCTGAGACTCACAGTTACCATTTGGCCAGTGGATGCTTCCGTCCATTGACCTGGTGATGTGAGCACTGAAGATAGCTCTGATCTTCTTTCCAGGATAGCAGAATAAGCTTCTGGAGGAGGCTGGGCAAGGGTGATGTTGGTGACGGACTGTGTCTGGGTTCCCAGGGGAGAACATTAATATCTGCTGGAGTCCCGATGGGCAGACCATTGCTGTGGGCAACAAGGATGACGTTGTGACCTTTATTGATGCCAAGACACACCGTTCCAAAGCAGAAGAGCAGTTCAAGTTTGAGGTCAACGAAATCTCCTGGAATAACGATAATAACATGTTCTTCCTGACCAATGGCAATGGCTGTATCAACATTCTCAGGTGAGGGGTTCTGGCTGAGCGGGACTGTCATACCTCTGCACGGGTGCTATGTCAGGTACAGAGATGAGTTAGGTGTGAGCCTATCTTACAAGACCTGAAGAAGAATATTTAAAAATTCTAGTTTCAGACAGTTAGTGGTAGTGCATGCCTTTAATCCCAGCACTTAGGAAGCAGAGGCAGGTGAGTTTGAGGCCAGCTTGGTCTACAGTGTGAGTTCCAGGACAGCCAGGGCTGTTACACAGAGAAAGCTTGCTGTCTCAAAAAATAAGCAAAGAAAAAAAATCCTAGTTTCTTTTAGGCACATTTGAAGCAGATAGTCTGGATTTTATTGAGTTCTTACTGGTATCGATTGTATCATCCTATTTGACTGACAGGGGACTGAGTTTGTAAAGATTGCTGACCCAGGGACTTAATGTACCTTGAATTGTGGCTAATTGACTCCCTTAAAATTTCAACTCAAATATTATTTTCCCTCTAGCCAAGTCACTTCTATCCATTTTTTTCCTCTTTTTTTTTTTCTTCTTATTTTATGAGACAGGTTTCTCTGTGTAACAGCTCTGGCTGTCCTGAAACTTGCTTTGTAAACTCCCATCCTTCTATCCTGATTTCTCTCTGAGATAAGAGGAGGGTTTTAGTGTATCTTATGCACTTTCTAACTTCCTGTAGGAAGCATTCTTAATTCTATATTATAGTGTGTGTTTTATTTATCTCTGTCTCATTATACTAGCATTTTCATGGTGGAAAGGCTGTGCTTGTCTTGTTTTCCACTGAATTGTTGCCTAACCTAACGCCTGTCTTAATGGTGGGAGGTCAGTAAATATTTGTTCTATAAGTAATTGAAAACATGGCACTAAAATTCAGGTCCATAGGGTCTATGGCTGTATCAGTTATAATCATGCAAGACAGAGGGGCGTAGATGCTGTGGTGGAGAGGGTGGAGTTTGCTGTGCATCCCAAGTTAAACAGAACAGAAGTCATCATACTGAAGGAGTGATATGTTTATAAACCTGTAGGTACTTTACTGTGCTTTCTTTGTATTTCTTGTATTGGATAGTTTTGCTAGGTACAACAGTCCTGGCTTCATTTTTTTCTTCTGTGTCTTGGGTGTGCTACTCTTACTTTTTTATTTCTGCTATAAAGTGGTGCTCTCAGAAAGCCCAGAGGTGATGTGGTTTTCTGGGAAGCCCAGTAACCTCACCAGTTTATCTTGATGTTAAATGGTACAGGTTCACTTAGGCCTGTGTTGTGCTCATTTAGTGGCTTGAGCAAATCTTTCTTTTAGGGAAGTTTTTTTTTCTTTTGGTGTTTTAGTGCCACGGTCCCTTTCTGCACATTGATGGCTGTGTGTCTTGTTTGTCAGCTACCCTGAACTAAAGCCTGTGCAGTCCATCAATGCCCATCCTTCTAACTGCATCTGTATCAAGTTTGACCCTATGGGGAAATACTTCGCCACAGGAAGTGCAGATGCCTTGGTCAGCCTCTGGGATGTCGATGAGTTAGTGTGCGTGCGGTGCTTCTCCAGGTAAGGAGCTCTGCCGCCTTTCCTGTCGGGTAAACTAACTGTTCCTGCCTCCCTTGGGGTCTATTCTGATGTTTCTGTTCGTTTTCTTATAGGCTGGATTGGCCGGTGAGGACCCTGAGTTTTAGCCACGATGGGAAGATGCTGGCGTCGGCCTCAGAGGACCATTTCATTGACATAGCTGAAGTGGAGACAGGTAACTGTGTGAGACCTTGTGTCTGATACCTGGCCTCAGGCCTTTGTTGGCATGTTTCAGCTCTGCACCATGCTACTTCACCATCCTATCCGACATGGACTTGTCTTGAGACCAATTTGTTGATATGACTGTCAGTTTCACACAGCGATGGGATGAAAGCACAGGAAGAGGTGCCAGATTTGAAGGGAAGTGGCTTTGCATTTATTAGTTCTTCATTATAAAAGTGTATTTTTCTGAGACAGGTCTAACTTTGTAGCTCTAACTGGCCTGGAACTCCTGATATAGATGAGGCTGGCCTTGAACTTACAGAGATCCATCTGTTTCTGCTTCCTGAGTGCTGGGATTAAAGTGATACACAATTATGTTTGGGAAAAAAGCTTTTTAAATAAGAGACAAAGAGCTGGGCATTTGTGTGCATTTTCTCCCAAGCCCTACTGCCCTCCCACCTTCTGGTTTCTCCTGTCAGTTTTCTGTGTTCCCCAGTTTTGCTTCTACTTTGAAGTAGTTTGTAAATACATGCTTTTATGTATTTGTAAAATCTAGCACCCCAAATGCGAGAAAGCATGGAGTGTTCACCTTTCTGTTGCATTTTGCATGATTCTCACCAAGTTGTGATAATCTGTCTTGGTTTTTCCCTGTAGCTGTGATAAAACACTATTAAGAAAGCAGCTTCCTAAAGAAAGGATGTTCTGGCTCACAGTTAGTTACAGACCGTCACGGCGGGAGCCAGACAGAACATATTACATCATGACCAAGAGCAGAGAGCCAGCCATCTGTGCTCAGCTTCCCTTCCTCTGTTTAGTCCAGGGGCCAGCCCCCAAAACTCACATTCCAGGGGGTCTTCCCACCTCAGGGAACTCAGTTAAGAAAGCCCCTCCCAGGCATGCCTCTTCTGGACTGAAGTTCAGGGAGACCCCCTTCACGGGTTGTTGACAATGCAGACTGGCCTCACAGTCCTAACTGAACCATCTGCGGTATGTAAAGTACTTTGAGAGGATAGTGGGCCTGTGTATTAAAGAGATAAAGGCTTTTAATCTTGGGTGAGTGTAGCCAACCACTCAGCAATGCAGGGCCTTTAGGGCAGGCTTCTTAAACTTTCTCCAGCTGTGGCCCAAAGGGGGCCGGTACAGTTGCTTGAGAGTTTTCATGTGACCTTGGTTATATAGGTCTACAGAACAGTTACTGATAGTGAGTGATAGTGGGTGGAGCCCAGATCACCAGCTTTGTTTAGTAAACGCTGGTATCTGATGAGCTACTTTGCCAGTTTCACATTTTTAGGTCCATAATTTAGAGATAACTATTGCTAATTTTTTGTACATTTCTTTTCAGTCTTTTTTTTCTGTCTATGTATTTTTATTGGAGTAAATAACTCCTATTTTTGGTAGGTTGAAACAAGGTAAGAATGAGTTTTTATTTTATTCCTGATAATGTATAGAATAGAACTTATTTTAATAGAATTATTTCTGACACACCACACAATTTGCAGTAGTCTGTTTGAGCTGGTGGCTTGGATTGTATGTCATCTGGTGATTAAGCTCTGCAGTAAATCACCGGGGTATTTATCCTAGTTAGGTTGCTGTTGCTGTGATGAAACACCATGACCAAAGCGATTTGGGGTTTATTCCCACATCATCATCAAAGGGAGTCAGGACAGCAACTCAAACAGGGCAGGGACCTGGAGGCGGGAGCTGATGCAGACACCACAGAGGGGTGCTGCTTACTGGCTTGTTCTTTGTAACTTTCTCAGCCTACTTTCTTATAGAACCCAGGACTACCAACCCATGGATGGCCCCACCCAAATTGAGCAGGGCCCTTACCTGTCAATCACTAGTTAAGAAAATGCTACAGAGAAACCCTGTCTCGAAAAAACCAAAAAAAAAAAAAAAAGCTGCCTTACTGGGCAGCTTGATTCGGTGAAGGTCAGTCTGTATAAGGTGTCAATGATAGCTGTCCATTGTTCTTCAGGGGAGTATAGAGCCTGTCACCTACCTGTGTGTGACATCTCTATGCTTTGTATTCTCTGTGAGGACTTAATGAATGTGCTGCTTAATCATATTCCTTATGGGGCCTGGAGAGATGGCTCGGGGTTAAGAGCCCAGGCTGCCTTTCCAGACGGCCCGGTTTCAAACATTCCCAGCACCCACATGGCAGTTCACAGCTGTCTGTAGCTCAGTTCCAGAGAATTTCACACCCTCACTCCAATGGACATAAAATTAAACAAGTTATTAAAAAAATAACATTCTTTATATTGATTTCTGTAGGGGACAAGCTGTGGGAGGTGCAGTGTGAGTCCCCGACTTTCACCGTGGCTTGGCACCCCAAGAGGCCTCTGCTGGCCTTTGCCTGCGATGACAAAGATGGCAAATATGACAGCAGTCGGGAAGCTGGCACTGTGAAGCTGTTTGGGCTCCCGAATGACTCCTGAGAGCGGCGGAGACCTTCCTTTGTGCAGTCTGCTGTTCTCTGGACTTTGTGGGCACTCTGAGTGTTTATAAATTGTCGTAGATTGCAACGCTGTGGTTGGACTGCATCCCTAATGCTCTCTGTGGTTCTGAGACCAGAACTGACCTTACAGGGCTAAGCAAGTGCTAACTACTTAGCTACATTCCCCACCCTGTCCAGCCTCTTTTCCTGGTTTTTGTTTTTGGTGTTTTGTGTTAGCTGTTTCCATCCCTCCCCGATTGCCAGTAAGTTAATGAGGGCTATGCAAGTGTGGGTCCTGATCCATTTTAGGGTTCTCTATGGGAACAGAACTGATTGTGTGCGTGTGTGTGTGTGTCTATTCTGGTACTAGAGTCCAGAGGGATCCCTAGAGAGCTTACACTGGAGTCCTGAGGAAGTAGGTTCTAATACCAGCAAAGAAATGTCTTAGCAACAGGATAGATGAACTTGGCAACGAGAGTGAGAACAAGCAGGCAAAAAGCAAAATCTTCCTTTCTCCATGTCCTTTTTTAGGGTGTCGGGTGCCAACAGAATGTGTGCCCTGGATTTAGGGTAGGTCTTCCTACCTCAAATGATCAAGAGAAATCTCTGAGATGTGCCCTGCTGGTTGGGTTCAGTGATTTCCAGGTGCAGTCCGAGCTGATACCCAAGGTTAGCCATCACGTGACCAGCACACGTCCCCTGTGGGAGCCCTGTTCCAGGTTTGAGATCGATGGCAAAGTTTGCTGAGCACAACTTAGGCAGTGCTTAGGCAGTGCTTATTTAGAGAGAAGGCAGGACAGGGATGGGATTTTAAAAATAATTTAAAGAATTGAGCATTTAATAAAACTGATTTTTATTATAATGCTTCTAAAGTTATGATGTTACTATTTTTATTCCAGTCAGCTGCTGAAGTTTTTAAATTTTGTTTTGTTTTTAAGTCTGAGAGGTAGAGTTTATAATCCTGTGTAACATTCTAACCAAGAACTCTGAACTGTAGTGCTGGGCTGCGGTAGTACTTTAATTACATGGTGTGTGTGTGTCTGACCTCCTTCTACCTGATTTTGTACATAACAAATTAGGGCAAACACAGAGAAACATTGTAAAACAGAAACAAATACTAAATCAGATTGAGAAAAATGCAAATACTAGAGAGATGGTTCAGATTAAGAGACTGCTCTTCCAAAGGACCCTGGTTCAATTCCTGCAACTGTATTTTCAGCTCCAGGGTGTCCAACACCCTCATATAGACATGCAGGCAAAACACCAGCACACATACATAAAAAGGAATTTTTTAAAAAAGGAAATATATGAGGGGTTTGGAGAGATGGCTCAGTGGTTAAGAGCATTGCCTGCTCTTCCAAAGGTTCTGAGTTCAATTCCCAGCAACCACATGGTGGCTCACAACCATCTGTAATGAGGTCTGGTGCCCTCTTCTGGCCTGCAGACATACACACAGACAGAATATTGTATACATAATAAATAAATATTTTAAAAAAAAAGGAAATATATGAAAAGTGAGGACCTACATGGATGACTTAATTTAAATGACTTTGAACTTCCTGGCAGCAAACAGGAGATGAAGGTAAGTCAGTGTGCTATTCTTTGTTTTTGACACAAGTTCTCAACCTCCCAAGTGCTACTATTACAGGCAGATAGCACATCTGTTGTAGGGATCTTTCTGGAATAAGCACTCTGATACCAGTGAGAGTGGACGGAAGCCAGGCCAGCTTCTGAAAGCCTCAGGCCTGGGTCCAGTTTGCATTCTCAGTGTGAAGAAGCAATGGAGATTTTACAGAAGCGTACTGGCAGGCAGGTTGTTAGGGGCAACGCTCCGTTGTTTCAGCCTTGACCAGGTCCTTCTGTTCCGGGGAGTTAAGTGAAGTCATGCTTGGCGAGCAGGCAGTACAAGCCGTGCTGTGAGTGCCTCACTAAGTCAACAAATCAACATTTAATAATTGGTCTTTTCTAGCTCATTTTGCTTCATTATGCCTAGCTTCTTAGGAGCAGTGCTTGCCAGGGCTGGGCAGTGTAACCCTGCCTGAACTGGTACTCACCAGGGTGGCCTCTAATTCAAAGCAGTCCCCCTGCCTCAGTCTCCTGAGTGCTGGGGTTACAGATATGTGCCTGACTTAAGTCTTAAAGACATTTTTAGTTACAGCCTCCCCTGTGTCTGGGATGATGAGCATTTTGGCTGTTACCAGTTCTTACTGCCTTCTGAGGAGAGTATTTTTGGCTTTCTGGTCTTGGGAATTATAGGTAACCCACTGCTAGTCACAACGGGATTATGGTCAGATCCAGGTCTGCTGGAAGGCCATGCAAACCTTAACTTTGTTTCTGAAGATTGTCCTTCATGTTTCACAGGTCCTAAAACCTTGACTGCTGTCCCAGGTTAGTGAGGTGACCTGCTGTTTCCAGTCCTGGGCTGGGTGTTGTTTCTTCAGCTTCCCAGCAGCCTGTCAACCTTCCTTGCCACCCTTATTTAAGTCCAGTGGTGTTCATGTCACTGGTGTTCTTGTGGGCACTCTTTTCCTGTTTTCTAATTCCTGTGACCACTACTGTACTTAGCTGTTTCCCTTCGCACTGGGAAAGGATGTTGAGGGTTTGTGCAATTGATTTTCCCCTCATCTGTGTGGGAGTTTTTCTCCCTCAGTTTGTCTAAAGTGTGGTGCACACTGCTTATTTCTTAGAGATTTGCTGTCACCTACACTAGTCCACTCGAGAAGAGCTCCCCCTAGTGGCAGTCTTTGCACAGCGCTTGAACTTCCTAGAACCTAGGAAGTTTTGGTGTCACATGCATGACATACTTCCCATGGTTCGAATGCATTCTGTAGTGCAGAGCTAGTGGGAGGCTGAAGGGTGGTCTAAGGACTGGATTTTAGTTGGCAAATTAAAACTGGGATTTACTATTCCCTGATCTATCATGGTATTGGCCTGAAGGAAAAAAAAAGCTAAAGGGAAGGAACTTTTATCTGGGCATAGTGGCTCTCACCTTTAATCCTAGCACGTAGGAGGCAGAGGCCAGCCTAGTCTGTGCAGAGTTTCAGGCCAGCCAGGCCTGCAGTACTTCTGTAGCAGCCCTGGTGCTATGATGGATATGTTGCGGGGGTTGGGGATGTGTGTAGGAGATCCCCCTTGCTACCTGGTAAGATCGTGTGAGGTGACTGTGTGAGGAGGCTTTGTCCTGCCTCTAATCTATGCAAGGACAAGGGTTGGTAGAGTTCTGGCAGAGAGGATAAACAGGAGGGCTGGGAGTCCTGGTCATACATTGGTATCCCCAAGGACAGAGAAGTGGATCAGAAGAACAGGCCGAGCCTGGTGAGGGTCAGCACTGCTCACCAGGAGACAGCTGTGGCATAGTAGAAGGGAGGCGGGAAACACCAATCCCTGAAAGGCCCGTGTGTGTCCAAATGCCCTGTGCCTGTTAGGAACTGGCTGGAGTATAGTGTGATGCACTCAGTTTAAAGAGTGGTAGGGAGAGGCTGGAGGGATGGCTCAGTAGCTAAGAGCACTTAATGCCATGCAGAGCACCCACGTGGCGGCTCACGGCTCTGTAACTCCAGTTCCAGGGTGCTCACAACATCTCTGGCTTCCACAGACACTGCACATGTGGCACACATATATACTTGCAGATAAAACACAAAATATATAAATATAAAAATATATAAATATAACAAGTGTTAGGTATGTCCTTGAGTCCCTTAACTCTCTGAAGGGCAGAGTCCATTCCCAGAGACTTAATCCTGGAAAGAACAAACCATGGACTGTCGACCCTCACAGAGTAGAAAGGTACACCGTCTCAAAGATCAGGTAGCCAGGAAACCACACACTGGAGCTCACTGCAGACTCAGTATACCTATGTGCACATGAGCTGTTGCCTTTTTCCCCTGACACTGGCACGGTCCATGTGACATCTCTTTCTCTGAACCTGCCAGTCATGATGGAGCGGAACCACTTTGATCATGAAGCTATGGACTAATGAGTTCCCTTCCCGCGGGCTGAGAGGACAGGGAAGTGAGGGAAAGTTATGCTTCATAACTCTCTTCCCTAGAGCAAGGTGGGGCAGCTCCCAGTGAGCACAGGGGCTGGCTGCAGAGACCTTGTCCCTCCTGCCCCTCAGCTTGTTTGGTCCTCCCACAGCTGAATGGGCCGCATTAATCACCCAGGGGTGGGTGCTATGGAGAAGGCTCAGCCATCGCACCTGGCCCAGTGGGTGGCACACTGACATGGCAGAGGGACTGTTTGCTTGCAGCCTGCTTGGGTCTGTGAGGGATTTGCATGTGCAACTCAATGCTGTGTGCCAGTGGGTGGTATGGGGGAGGAGGGCAAAGCTCCAGGTACTGTGGCACCTAGGAGGGGTAGATGTGGGGGAAGGAGAGGTCTTGAGTACAGTGGGGTCACATGTGCAGCAGAGGCCACCTGAGGGAGGGGTACTGCAGCTGGCAGCACAGCAAGGTGTCCTGTGGTGGAGAAGATGGCCAGGTGGAGTGGGGGAGAGGATTGGGTGGGGAGGGACGTGGGAGTGTCAGGTCCTGGGTTGGTAGGGTACTGGGTGAGCAGGAAGAGATGGGGACCTGGGCTCAAATTCTTTCTGGAGGAATCTGGACAAGTTACTTCACCTTCATGATTTTGTTCTCTGTGCTGGCTATTATTATTATTATTATTGATTTTGATTTTTTGAGACAAGGTTTCCCTGTATATCCTTGGCTGTCCTGGAACTCGATCTGTAGACCAGGCTGGCCTCGAACTCAGAGATCTGCCAGCCTCTGTCTCCCTAGTGCTGGGATTAAAGGTGTGTGCCTCCAACACCCGGCTTGTGCTGTCTATATTTATGTCAATTTGGCATAAGTGATTTGGAATGAAGTAAACTTTATTGAGCAAATGTCTATATGATTGACCTGTGGGAAAACCTGTGTGGCATTTTCTTGATTGGTGATTGATGGGGGCCCAACTGTAGTTAGTTACTTTTTACTCTGCTCTTTGGGGGCCCACCACTCAGTGCCCAGATAAATACACAGAGACTTATTCCTACTTATGAATGTCTAGCCTTAGCTTGGCTTATTTCTAGCCAGCTTTTCATAAATTAACCCATCTACCTTTTGCCTTTGGGCTTTTATTTTTCTCTATCCTATATACCTTTACTTTTTACTCCGTGGCTTGCAGTTTATTTAGGTGGCTGGCCCCTGATATCCTCCTCTCTTCTCTCAATCCTTGATTTTTTCTTCCCAGATTTCTCTTATTTATTCTGTCTGCCAGCCCCACCTATTCTTTCTCCTGCCTAGCTATTAACTGTTCAGCTCTTAGACCAATCAGGTGTTCTAGACAGGCAAAGTAACACAGCCTCACAGCTAAACAAATGCAACATAGAGGAATGCAACACACTGGGTGGTGGCGCACGCCTTTAATCCCAGCACTCGGAGGCAGAGACAGGTGGATCTCTGTGAGTTTGAGGCCAGCCTGGTCTACAGAGCGAGTTTCAGGACAGGCTCTAAAGTTACATAGAGAAACCCTGTCTTGAAGAACCCAAAAGAAAAAAAATAAAGAATAGAATGCATCTTTATATCAGTAAACAAATATGCCACAGCATAAATGAATGTAATACCTCTTAAAATACAATTCTGCAACACACAACTCATTGGGCGGTGCTACCCCTGAGCTGGTGGTTCTGGGTGTTTTATCAGGCTGAACAAACCACCAAAGCAAACCAGAAAGCAGTCTTTGTCGATGGTCTCTGCGTCAGTTCCTGCCTCCAGGTTCCTGGGCTTCCCTCAGTGGATTGTGACCCAGGGTATGTAAGCCAATTCAACCCTTTCCCCCACAAGTTGCTTTTGATCATAGTCTTTATCACAGTGATAGGAGCCTAAC